TATTTTATTATTAAACTTAAATTAAATTATAATAAAAAAATAAATTAAAGAAATTACATAAAAAGTAAAAACTTTTAAATAGTTGATTTGATATTAAAATTGATATAATTTTTTTCAAATTTTTATGATATCTTCAAATGTATATTTTATTCAAAAATAAAATCATTATTGTTTTCTTTAAAACGCATAAAATCGTATTATAACATCGATAGAGACAAATAATAAAATAGAACATTAAAATCAAGATGTGTCTCGCTGCATTGCGCGAGTACTCTTATAGTATATACATACATATATATATATATATATATATATATACTAGAAGGGTACTCGCGCAATGCAGCGAGATATATCTTGATTTTAATATTTCATTTTATTTTTTATCTCAGTCGATGTTATAATATGGTCGTATGTGATTGGTCGGTTATATTTCACACCTTTAGACTAATGAAATTAGGCCACAAAGCAAGTATACAATACGGCCTAACGTCGTCTTTCCAAGTAATAAAGTGGTACAAGTACCAGATTATCGTCCACAGAGATTGTAGCCAAAGTTAGATTAGAGTCTAATGAAAGAGATGATTTCAGATGACGATTTCGAAGACTTTTCTTTGATTGTAATGTGATCCAAAACAGACTACAGAATAAATAAAAGAAGCAAGGGTGTAAAACTTAAGGTGAGATCCAAACACAAATTCCAGCAGCCAATGCTGTAGCAATGCTACAGCAAGCAGTGTTTCAAAACTAAGTTCCACCATCTATTTTGAAGGCATTCCTCTCGGACTTCACCATTGCATTATCTTATAGCTTTCCACCCATATCTCTATGAGGTGTCTGGACCGGGAATAGTGACACGATGGTGTATTCAAAATATATGGATAAACAAATCTCTTTGTTAAAAATCACTCTCTCGAGTTGATTCCCATATCATTCGAGTTGGCGTGTTCTCGATATTTCATCTCTGAATATATCACACTTTGACATTTTTGACAAGCGACCAACCCGTCGGGAGTTACGTTTTGAAAAACATAAATGACAAGTCTCCTTGTCGGCAACTTTCTCAAGTCTACCTCKTATGTCATCCAAGTTGACGTGCTTATTGATGGCTTATCTCTAAGTCCATCGCACTTTAACACTTTCAAGTGATCAACCCGTCAAGAAGTGTGCTTGGTTTTATAAAAACTCGAATGAAACAATGAAACGTTGTTTTTGAAAACACTTAGCTACTTTCGTTCGGTTTGAAAATCTCACATTTCCGTCTCACACTCAAGCTATAAAAGCTTAGCTACTCATAACGGAAAGTAAAAAATAAATGACGGAAAATAAAGACATAAACGTAAATTACGTAAAGTAAATGACAATAAAATAAATGACGGAAATGTAAATGACGATAAAATAAATGACGAGAATGTAAATGACGAGAATGTAAATAGCGGAAAATAAATGACGGAATGTAAATGACGGAATGTAAATAACGGAAATGTAAAGACGAGAAAATAAATAGCGGAAAATAAAAGACAAGAAAGTAAATAAATAAAAAGATGAAGAAGATCTTGAAGAACTTGAAGAACACCCTTGAAGAGGGTTTAAAGCAAAAGGAAGAAAAGTTGGGAGAAAAAGTAGGGAGAATCCAAAGGATTATGGATTAATTGGGTGAGAAATGTGGTAACCTTAGCCTCCTATTTATACYCAAAATGGGCACTAAAAGACAAAAGAACAAAGCTTGGAGGCTAAGCTTACCAACACTAGTTACAATACAACTAAAGCTTTAACTAAAAAGTACAAAAGCTAAACTAGAGAGTACATAAGTTTAACTAGAGAGTACATCTGATTTTCTACTAAAAATCCAGCCATTTTACAGYTGTATTCCACCTTCAAAAAGCCAAYGTCTTGTTCATTAAGTCCTCCAAAAAGTCGTGCAAGACCCAGGCCAACGCTGCACCAATGCTGTAGCATTTG